TTCTGTCAAGTTCAGGTTATCTTTACGGAACGTGAGGTCGATGAGAATTAGAGTTCCCGACTTCCTCTCTCAACCGCTGTCCACTGAAGCTTCAAAGCTCCTAGAGCAGCTCAATAGAACCGCCATGGTTTGAGTAAGGCTAGAGTAACAGATTAGTGTTAGGACAGCTCTTAGCGAATTTCCCGAGCAGCATCAGCAGCTCTGATACCTCTGTTGAATGCGAAAAGGAGGAGATGTCTGAAGTGCTGATGCTTATCGACCTGACATTCCATATTATCCACCTGAAAAAAGTTTCAATGCCAAAACGGATTTTTAAACATAAGCTGGCAACGCCAGTGTTAAGAGCACAAAATTGGCTATGCAGAACGTATAGCACACATAGCGAAACCTTCAATGTAGCTCTAAAATTCGTGAGAACGGGAAACCTAGTTCTGACAAGACTTCGGTCCGTAATAATAACTGAGCTTAACAAAAGCAAACACGCTCTGAAGATTAGATTTACCATACGTGTCCTAGAGCCGAAAATTTGTCTATCAGACATGCAACAACTATATTAGCGACAACATTTTCAAATATTAGCATGAAATTTCAGGTGGAACAGACGTGAGCTGCCCAATATCGGCGAGGTGAAGGTTGCCAACTTTGAAATTCTTGAAATTAGTTCTAAAGCGTCCTATTGAGATTCCTTGCTGGAACTTCTAGCTCGACCTTTTCCAAATGTATGGAGCAGCTTAAGCGATTTTAGCACTTCGACTATACGTAAATAGAGGCAGTTGTCGAAGGTGCTAATTTTCGCCGACTTCGCTTTCAACTTCAACGACTAAAAAATCCACAAAAATTATTCCCTCAACCGAAGCCGTTTTGATATTCTAAAACTACGTGAAGTTTCCTATCAGATGATATCAGCTTTGCTAGCAAAAAAAAAAACATTTCATCTTAAAACAGAAATTTCCAGGTTGAAAAAAAAACGAAAGTACTTATTGTGCCAACCAATACTTTGTTAGGCGTCTAATTGATTTTGTTTTCGAGCCATTACTAAGGCACCGTTGAGCGACCGGGGGGGGGGGGGTAAAGGCATTTTATTGCCTTTATGCTACACTAACTGATGTGTTGCAACTTAATCAAATGAAAATCTGCTGAAAACCCTTTTCCGGAGCAGCGAAATGGTACCACCCGAAGTTTTAGAAACTACCTGTCCTCGTAGAGTACGATACTTGTCGAGGATCTCGTAATTCGTGATGAGAAATTCAATTTTAATAAGGCTTAAAGAATAGTTGACAGTTTCACCTTCAGAGTCAGACTTGTTCAAACTGTGACTAGTGAAGCGCATGCCCCCCCTCTCTCCCCGTCGCAGAACTGCGCCCCTTCATTGGTATTGTTTTTCAAGGGCTCTCCACGTACGCCACGTTCTACGAAAGCTCGACAGAGTGGTCCATCCAAAGAGTCCGCGGGTGAAGAAACAGAGGTACGGAGTGTTTCGACAGATTTTTTCTGTTAAATCGATGATTTATGATAATGTATGATACGTTTTCGTTCTGATGAAATGATTCGTTCAGGAACACGAGCACATTAACACCGAAGACGAAACAAATGTTAATGAGGTGGCTAATGGTTCTGGTGAAGCGGAGATGGTGAGTTTCATTCTGTAGATCGATGAGTGTTTGTAATTCCTATTTGTTTTTTTTCACTGTTTCTACTCACTTTTATTTCTTTATTTGTTTTTTTTTCTTAGCGCAGTTCGACTTTGTGGGAAGATTTTGCTTGTCCCCATCGATGACTGCAAATGCCTTTAACACCTATACATTCCTGTAAAACTTTGCAATAGCAGGAGCTTTGTTTGGCGTTGGCGAATATCTACAGGTGTTACCAAGTTCGACGTGTAATTTAACAAGAAAAGAAACTAGCTGCAAAATGCGCCTTCCAAGTCGAACAGCGTCTAATTCTTTAATGCCCATGGTACGGTGATAAAGCAGTTAAAAGAGGTGAGAGGGGCAGACTTATCAGCGGATTTATTTCAAGACATTGGAATCGCAACATCGCGCACGAAGTGGTAGATTGTTTTTTCCTAGATAATCGGCTCAATAGACTGCAGCATCATTGGTTTGAATAAGTTGGGTTGTGGTGCGAATGTCGCGTACGTGACACCATTCGCCGCTCATTGTGCATCGCATGCACTGAACTGACCCCTTTCTGCGCCCCTCTCCCAGAAATAGTAATCCTTCTGTTCTCCGAAGCAGCATTAGGGATAAAAAACTGGTAGCCGCGGCCTATTTTCGCCGTGTGTTCCTCCCCACCGCTCTGGCTGGATTCGTGTTGCTCTCATTTTTGCCCTTTCTAGTGTTTGATTTACACCCTGTGCCATCCAGTAATCCTAGTGGCTCGCGAGTTCTCCTTTTCAGAAAATGGAAGACGATATAGGAGACGAAGATGACGTTCACGTGAAGAACGAAGAAATGGAAGAGGTAGAGAAAAAAGAGGAGCCAGACGATGAGCAAGAGCCAGATGATGAGGTTAGAGATTGACCAATACTGAATAGCATGAACGTAACCGGTATATTGTGATTGTTTTGTGATATTGTGTTGTAAAGTCACGTTAGAGACCGGAGAAAAAGTTTCGTTTTGCACGTCTGGAAGTTCGGAAGACACACACAATAATTCACGGGGTCGACTCACTCAGCAAAAACGTATTCAGGGCGTTTCAAAGCCTTCAACATCGCGAAAACGTCAGGCGGATGACGATTATGATGCGGAAGCTGAGGCAGTAGCTGAAGCTGATGAAGACGACGACGAGGACTATGAAGAAAAGGTGTGTGTTGTGTGCTATTTTCGGTGACTGTGGCTATTAAGTTACTATCTTATTTCTCTTGGCCGCGTTTATACTTCTTGATTCATGCGATTGACACTCGCGCTGCGACCGATCTTCATCTATAATAGGTGGATCGCTGCAACTGCTAACTCAGCCGCATTCGAAGTACATCTTGATTCGACCTTTGTGTGCTGTGTTCCTGGAATGTGATTGAATTAGCGGTTGCTGCAGTCCCGTGGTTAGCGGTGGAGCGCTGTCAGTGCGATCGCGCGACTTACTCGCATGAATCGCAAAGTATGAACGCGGCCTGATGCATGTTCCTGCACGAATATTGCACAGTGCAGTAGCTTTTTCTAAAGCGGCAGAGTTTGGGTGTTCACTGATAATCTTCTCCTAACTTACAGCCGAAGCGAAAAGGTAGCAAAACGGACAAGAAAAAGAAGGAGAAGTCGGATAAAAAGTCAAAAGAAGCGAAAGATAAGAAGACACCAAAGCGACGAACATCAATATCATTTGAAGACGCTTTGGGAGGTAAAAACGCCTAATTGAGATACATATCACCGCAAGCCTTATTACTTACTATATATCTTTTAGGAACTCCTAAGAGCTCAAAGAAAAAGCACGATCCGAAGAAGGACAAGCCAATGTTTGTAGGAGGATTGCCTATGGCTCCTATACAGGTGGTGACAGTGTTTTCTCAAGGTTATTTAGTGAATTCTTGTAAGAGATGGTTGCTTATAGGATGGTCCCGTCGTGCCGAATGCCTATAACTACGATCCAATGGCGGAAATTATGAAGCTCGGTACTGGACAGTTCCAAAGCGCATACCGAAAGTCGAAATTGGTTAGTTACTTCCGGATATTCAACGCTTGTTTTACCAGGTTATATCATTACCAGTCGGATCGCCCGGCTGACGCCGAGCTCTCCTCCTTCTCTTTAGCTCGGCTTCGCCGAGCTGAAGAGAAGGAGGAAACTGAAAAAAACTAAAAAAAAAAAAAACTGGAACTGCACCTGAATCCCTACCTAATAACGCTTCCCTTTTCAATCACCGTGCAACCCTTTTGCTGAAGTACAAATAGTTGTAGGTATCATGCTCCTCTTATTACTCGTCCTATTGAACGCATAAAGCCTGCCTCAATCCTCATTATGTAAATTTTCGGTTTTCTCCCAATTTCCTGACTTTCCTGTTTCACTCGAACTATATACCCCCCCCCCCCCCCCCCCCCCCCAAACAATCCCCTCAATTACTTGGCATTGTAGTGGTAAGAGATGTAATGGGAATGACCCCTTATCATAACCTATCAATTGATAAGATTGCCTGTCGCCCATCATCAATTTCCTATCACTAAAACTCTATAATTTGGTGAAGGTGAGCTCGTCAAAGCGGCTGCAACACTTGGACCTGAACGAACAACCGGCAACTTTCCCTTATCCGCCCCTATCACCGCTGTATCACCTCTGTCACCCGCGTCCTTCGATGTTCTTATCTCCCCACTCTATACAAATTTCTGAAATCAACGCCTAGCTGATGCTGTGTCCTGTGTTATGACTATGCTGGCCTTCCCTTTCTATCTCTCCTTATCAAATCTTATTCAATCACCTCCTGGGAGTTCTTGTGACAGCCATAATGTTCCTGTGCCAATACCCTATAATCATACTGGAATCAAACGACACCCAGTTGCTGTGGACCCCGCGATTATGAGCATGCTTGACCATAAACATTTCGTGAGGCCCCTTATCTGGAATCTTGAATCAGCTGCATAAAAAGTTTCTCTAGCAGCTAATCCCACGAAATAATCTTACAAAGTTCTCATTCTCGACACTTCATATCTCGGATACTAACTCCCATTGCTTGTGTGACCCTGCCACATAGGACTGGGGGGACCGTACCCTTTGGACGCCCCTACTCGGGATCTTGATCAGCTGACTTAACACTTCGCTAAACCCCGACAAATGAGTGTTCCTGATCACACCCCCTCATGATATTCTTGGAAAGCCAAAGGTCTAACTGTTACTGGACAGGTGTGAGGAATTCGGTGACACACACACACACAAACGCGACAGCGCACACACAGCACACACACGACAGACAGCACATAGGATCCTATATAATAAGTTTATTAGTGTAATGGTAACTAAAAAAAGGTGAAAACGTAGAATGCAAGATAATCTCACAAGTCGAGGTTTGTTTGTACTTGTCTTTCTACCCTTATGGGCTTTTCAGAAAAATGTTTTCATGTCCACACCCCCCCCCTCTTGACAGACTGCGTATCTTTCCCTCTATGATGCCGTTCTAGTAACAAGCTGGTTTTTTTTAAACCACTGAACCTAAAGACACATTGCTTGACCACTCGAGTGGTATGGGTCTTCCTTGTATGAGATGGGCAGGTCCGCTGAGGGAAAAGTGTACCGCTTTCGTCACTCGAGATTTTTTGACAAAGAATCTTGGGGTCTGTTATTGCTGTTACAATCTCCGCCCGCTAAACGGAACGTCGCGTCATGCGCGCTGCTCTTCTGAGTCTTCTTAGACAGTAATATTCAAGGTTTCTTTGTATTTGTTCTTTTTTACGACAAAAATTCACCTGAGTAACTGTTATAGAATATCACACCACCAAAGGACAAGAAAATTTACAAGTTAGAGCCGAAGCATCATGATGAAGAGGAGGCGGCAAAGAACAGTGCTGAAGCTCAAAGCAAAAGCTCAAAGCCAGGTTAGTCGTAAAATTGGACTTATCCCATATCATTCGTATTATTGGGGGTTTCTGATAATTGTTCGATCTGTTATGCATGTTACAGAACCCCCGAAACCTCCAGTGATTGCACCGCTTAGCGTGAATACAAGACGCCATAGTGATGGAGGTGTGTTACTCTATTTGTTCACGTATGTGCCAATGACTGTTTATGTTTAGTACCTGCTCGTACTAGTCCTGCGTCTGGTCCATCACCTAGAACGGGTTTCATGCCACGACTTCATGACATTCCACCTGCAAGTACACCTGGGCCAGCGAAACCACAACCGCCTCCAATCCCTGCAGCAAGGAAGACTCATGTCCCCAGCGCTGATAGTATTCAAAGGTTCACCATTCATATTCAAGTGAATCTGTAACAAATAGACGAAATTGATGGTTACAGAGCTCCTGTTGAACCTAGTCCTACGGTTCCTCGTGCATCTCGAAACTCATTCAGTGAATTTGGGGCGAACGCGGCGGTAAGTTCATGGCACGTTTCACCTTCAAAGTTGTCGCTTGAATTTTCAAATATTTTAGGCTCAGATCTCGCCGTTGTCAAGGAACGGTTCAGCACACACTACGCCACAGAGTCATGCTTCACCAGTGCCTTCAATTTAGTAAGTTTCACATTACATATCTTGCGATAGTTTGAGTAGGAGCTGTTCTACTCCAGTACTAATGTCAAGAAGGTAACTAACACAATAATCGATATTGGAAAGAGCTACTAGTGAAAGAACCTCGCCACCGGGAATCCTCTAGAAATAAAAATTGGGCGTTGCGGTGGCCAGTGGGTGGCGGTGGCCTCGCGGCAAGCCGGGCTTCTCAAATCCGCCGAAAAGTAGTACTTCGGTTCCTTGTGTTTGCGGCGAGACCACCATATGCAGTGTGACCGTCAAATGGGAGGGGTTTCTGGCGCGTGTAAAAGAGTAAAACAACATGGAGAGAGTTTTCTTGGGATCAAATATGCCCGCCCCGTACTTGTGTTTGATGCAAGGAGGGTGGGCCCTTTGGTTGTTTTGAAACGTTGTGCAGGGGAGGACACACACTATCACAGAAATCACGAAAAGTGATATTTTATACCAGTGTGGTCGAAGATTTGCTTCTGCTTATGTGTGAGTGTTTCAGACTCGTCCAAACCGTCTATAAAGCAGGTGTCACCAAGCGATATACTGTATGCGGTTCGTTATCCTTTTATTTTACTTACTCTTATCAGTTTTTTTCTTGGCGCAGATGCAGCGCAGGTCCATTAAATGGCAGAAGATGACGTATCTAACTCGTCAGTAGCGAGGGAACCGGTATTGAATCATTGTCAGTCACCTGTCAAGATGCATCATTAACTGTTAGGTGACGTTAATGACTCGCCATCTACCTTTAAATAGTAATATGCTAGACCGTATACCCGATTCACATCAGGGGAGACGGTCAAGACAATCGTAATTTGCCATTCTGCCGCGCGCGGTTATTGGGGCGACGTCTTAATTTGCATTAGCTATGTCGATTAGGGCACCGAATATCATGTAAACTACGAATTCGACATTCATGGCTATTTTGCCATCTAAAGCCATGAATTATCGTCATTTGCGAGCGCGACGTCGCAAGCGACACCGACCAGTGCGACGTACGATTGTCCTATCACATACATACCCCCCCCCACATCAGTACCTTTCTTCTCTTCTTACGTTAAATTAGTTCTGTGTCATTATTGTTGCTATCAACACAGATATCTTAAGTAGGAGAGCTTACATCCACGTTGCGGCGACGTCGAGAACGAGGTTACAAGCGGCGTCAAATGCCGGTTTTGGCGTTAGACAACTGATTCTCACGTCAATCGGTTGACTGTACCACCTCATGGGCGCTTGTCAACCGGGAAGCCTGTCTTCTCTTTCCTTTTTTTCCTCCTTCCTTCTTTTCCTTCCTCCCTTCTCTGATCCCTCCTCTTTACCTTCTCCTTCAAGTACTGGACTGGTAGATGCCTCGAGAAAATACCCCTGGACCCTCGCAGCGAGAGCACGTCCGGTTGACAAATGCACCCTGTACTGCAGTGGGACGAGTCAACTAGCTAATACCAACTATTTTATACGCATCTACGTGAATTTAACGTCGCAGACCCTGATGTCCCGTGCGGTGCAGTAATTCATGTTTGGGACCTCTTGTTTTATTTCGATGACTATTTGTATAGTTATCGATCAGACTTTACCAGTTGCGTAGCTTCTCTTCATACGCTTTTTTGTCTGTATTCTATGTGTTTTTTTTCAGCCACGCGATGAAGGTTCACGACCAATCAATAGAATCCAAGACGTAAGAAAGTGAGCACTTTACGTAGTCAAGGGCACTTTCCGCGATGAACGACGAACGTGGTTTCCCGGCCACGTTGCCCTCTTCATAGGAGCGTCCCCTTCCCTGTTTTAGGAGCGCACCAATGTGGAGGGCACGATAAACGTGAGTCCCCGCCCACTCTCCTGTCGAGCGGTCATTGCGGAAAGTGTCTTTGAGTCTCATGAAGAATGGTACTCTTTCATGCTTCTCACATTATACAACTTTTTTAGGGCTCGCTTCGCTGAAAATCCAGTATCAGACATCTCCCCACCTCCTGTATCTACCACTCCGCCGTTCATGACATCTCCAGCACCTCTGCAGTCACCAGATCTTCCACCAGTGTTCACATCTTCATCAACGACAGCCCCACCGGCGATAAACGTCACACCAAAGATCCCTATGAAGCAGGCATTAGCTCAGCTAGGTCAAATCGTCAAAGAACTTAATGAGGTCAACGCGTTATAATAGGAACCGTGGTCACTCAGTAGTTTTCTGGAGTTTGTGAGTAAGCAACAAGCTTCACTGTAAATAGGGACTCGTTTCACGATTGTCATCTGAATATTATCTCATTCCATAATTACCTTGTTCATTTGAAACGTATTTTTTTAAATGACATTTTTAGTACTTCAGGGGAGAGATACGCGGCAGTGCGCTTATTTCCACCCCCTCTTTCCCAAAGTCAAGGCTTAGCAGAGCACAGACGACCGGAGTTCGTAACGGCATAGTTTCACAGAGCAGAAACATGTCGCGTACCCCTAAGTATATTAGCGCCATTTGAGTTGATCCTTGTTAATTCACATGTTGATCCTTCTTCTTTCATCAAATGAACGTTATAACGTCATTACTGCGACGTTTTTCCTTGAGTAGCATCCTCATTGAATTTCTCTTAAAGGATCTCTGAGAGATATGTTTTTTGCTGGATATTTGTACTGTTTTTTCCTTTGGTATTGTACAACACTACACTAAATTCCTGATCATTTACAGCATGTGTTTTTTTTCTTTTTTTGTATACTTAAGTGAAAACTATGAAATTTTGCCGCTTTTTCACCGCACCGAGGTTATTCCTGATTTACTGATTTCCACTTGAATGTTGTTTAAAGAGTCGTTGTTTGATAATCGAGTTGGAGTGTGATTTGTTAGAATTTGCCGCGAATTTAAAGACACATTGCATGGTTGCAAATTGTGGGTTCTGGGGTCTAAATATGATCTGGTAGGTGCTTTTTTACCTTGCATGGAAGCAAAAAAAAACAGGAGTTGGACAAAAAGTTCTGTAGTGGCCCCTTTTTGTTCTTAGCATTGGATGAACAAGTAGACGCGCAGAGACGCTCAGTGGCGCAAGTGGCAGAAAGCACAGGCATGCTGTCAGGCCTGATGATAAAACGACTAAAATGAGAAGTTGAATGGCTGCAATTTCAGTTGATGAGTGCTGACATTTATAGAAAACTGACTGTAGTAGAAGAGTTGGAACGCCAAGTGAAGTATTTGGAGAAGTGTCCAGGTTGGTCTACTTGATTGTTGTTCTACGAAATCATCGCTTGGGTTCATTTTGCGCGTGAATGAGCACTACGACGGGACACTTGAAATGAGGGATTAGACTCAAGGAAAAGGTTGAGGAAAGGATTTGGGCGCGTCTACGTAAAGCAGCTTTTCTTATCCTAGCAGAGCGCGATCTTACGTACCTCGTCATCCGGGCAGTTGATTAGGGCGGTCGTCAACGGGCCGCAGCGCGTGCCAGGAACTATTTGCTTTTTCCAGGCTAATTTAGTCATTTTTTCCAACTTTTCACTGTTTTGGCTACTTTTTCCCAGATTAGCAGCTCCTTATCTTCACAAGGTGGAAAAAATGACTAAATTAGCCTGGAAAAGCAAATAGTTCCTGGCACGCGCTGCGGCCCGTTGACGACCGCCCTAATCAACTGCCCGGATGACGAGGTTATGGTACGCTGTACACCGCGCGATAGGCAGCCATTTAACGTCTTACGCAGTAAAGTCGCCCATCGAATGCCTGTTGATGTGCTGGTGCTAGGTGCTGTACAGACGTGTCTGGCTTTATGGACTGACCCTTCTCTGTGCGCGAGAATTGTTACGCGGTTTTTTGCAACGTTTGCAGGGGCATGCAAGCCTCGCTGCAAGGGCACGGGTTGTAAGATGTATGTTCGCGGCAATGCGTGAACTAGTTAGTAATTCTTAGTTTTCTTAGTATTGTGCTGTCCCGAAGCCTCATTGCAATCTGAATGTAAGATACATGAAAGAGGCACCAAAAATTTATTGCAAAAAAAACTCTAAAGATCCAAAAGTTTTCGCACGAATTTTCATTGTTTTTATTCCTTCCTTCGGATATTTACGGGCTTAGAACCTTCTTCAGCGATCTGAAATACTGGTAGGAATAGAAACAAAAATTTTGCGAATACATTTGAATTTTTCTTTGGAGTTTTTTTGCAATAAGTTGTTGATGCCTCTTTCAAGTGTCTTACATTCAGATTCTTAGTTTACCTAACCCAGTGTAAATTTTTCACCTCAAAAGTTAGCTCAGATAGCAGATACTGTGACGATACTTGGTACCGTTCCGTCGCGTCGCCGCAGCATGGATCTCCTGAACAGTGAACCGCACATTTGCTGGTATGAGGAAGTTGTGCGTTTCTGGTCAGAGAGATCCACGCTACTATTCTGAAAGTGACTGCGTAAGTCTGCCTGCTCCTGGGGTAGTGTGCCAGTTGCCATCCTACACATCTTGGCTCAAGTTGGAGTAGAACGTCAGGAAGAGTATCGCAAAAAAATAAACCGAAATCGATGAAGAAAATTTTGCCTTATAGGATAAATTCGTATACAGGAAGCCAGAAGGAATTGCCCTATACTTCCGTGAGCCAGTTGTACTGGCAAGGGTCGAGACTAGAAGTAAGTCAGCATTCATTTTTCATGTGTATGAAGTTTTGGGTTTATATGATTTGTATATAGATGTTTTTTTCAGAACAGCTGCGGGACTCCAAAGAAAAGGTCTCTGGATTTTACTAGAAAATGGTGCAGAGGTGATTATTGATCAGTATTTGGTAATGGTTTATATTGTAGCTCGGAAAGCTA